GATGCTTAACGTGTAAAGTCAAAAGGAAAAATAAATGTAATAATAGTGAACATATAATAATGAATCCAGCCTGAAGTATACTCATTTTTATAACACAGTGGCCAAACACAATTCCTTAATAAATTAATTAATTTTGATGAGGGAAGAGCAAAGTGCCCACGAAGGCAAAAGCGCTGCAGCCCCGGGCGAGTCCTCAGCCCGAGGCCCTGGCTGTGCTCAGCTGCAACAGCGGGACCCCTGCTGCCCCCATGTGCAAGGCTGGGTCGCGACACCCTGGCCATCCACAGACGCTTCTCCCGCGGCATGTGATCCATCATTCCCCTCTCCGGCTCAGCTACAGTCGAATCCTCCTCCTGCCATCTCCTCTGGGGAGGCGTCCATGCCCATGAAACAGCCAGGGGTCTCTGACTCATCTGAAGCTCCAGGCCAGAGGGTCTGGTCCCCAATGGGATCAGGCTGGGAGGTGGTGTATTGTGTTGAACAGCGTGCTTCCAAAATTCACATCCACCTGGAACCTCAAAATGTGACCTTATTTATAGATAAAGTCTTTGTAGATGTAGTTTGTTAAGGATCACAGGATGGAAAATCCTGGACTTACGGTGGGCCCCTAAATCCAAAGAATGGTGTCCTTATAAGAGAGAGGACGTAGAGGTTCAGCAGAAGCAGCCATGTGAAGAGGTTGGAGGCAGAGGCCGGGGGACTGCGGTTCCTCCCCAAGGAATGCAGGGAGCCATGGGATGCTGAGGGGGCGGGGCTTCTCTCCTATGCCCTACGAGGGGCTGTGGTTCTGCAGCACCCTGCTTCCAGACTTCTGGTCTCCAGGACTGGGAGAGAATAAATTTCTGTTGTTTTAAACCACTTGACTTGCGGTAATTTGTTTAGCAGCCCCAAAAAGTTAACACAGACCCAGGAGGTAAGAGGGGAAAGCCTCGGGGCAGAACAGGCAGGAATGACAGTGAGGGGCTGAGGGGTAAGAGCGCCTCAGGCAGCCCTGGCCTGTGGGACACCAGAGGACACAGCCATCCTATTCCTTTGCCAAGACTCCCTGGGACCCAGGACTAACCCAGTGCAGGCAAACCTCACAGCCCTTCAGACACGCTCGCCCACTCCTGGGAGCAGCTGAGTAAGTTCGGGCAGGCGGAAGCAGCCTGTTAGGTCAGTGGCTTCCTAACTGGAGATGCTGGCAGGGCCACGACGGGCTGATGCTCCAGCCTTGGCAACAAGTTCATCTCAGTCACCTTGGAGATTCAGAAGATCCTAATGCCTGAGCCAGCCATGAATTTTCTGGCCGTCTCCATAGCCAGTAGGTAACCCTGATGTGCAGCCAAGACAGAGAGTCCACAAAGGACCCAGGAGAGACTCCAGAGGACTGATGCTTTCAAACCCTGCCCTCTTCTCCCAGCACCCCCTGCAGAGGCCTGACACTGCCCTGACGGCTCTAAAGTAAGTCCCATTCAGGTGGCACAGCGTCAGACCTATAGGTGTGTTTCGTCTGACCTGTGGGAGGGGAAAAGGCACACTGGCCTGCATAAGCGTTGTCTTATCACAGTGCAGGTACCAGAAGGTGTCTATCTGCTATAATAAATATGAAAGCAATTTCTTAGTTAGTTTTTATACAAGAGAATTGCAGATGTGAAGTTCATCAACCTGTTTGTAAGCCTCGATATTGTGCTTCTTCAAGTGAGTGCATTTAGATGAGGTGATGGGTGGGGTGGTGAGTGGCTGAAGAAGAGGTGTGTCAAGAGGAGAAGAAGTTGCTTTTTGCAGGGGGAAGTGCCAGGCAGGAGATGGCAGAAGACCCGCTCTCCCAAGGTGGTGTCTCCACAGGACCTGCGTGGCAGACGGACACCCCAAGAGGTCTAGCAGGAACCCGGCTCTCCCTGCCCTCATCCTCACAGGCTCTAATGCCAGCCCCCATGCCCTCAGGCATATTCGGCCCTAGACGTAGGGAGGACTCTCTGACTGCCATCCAGGATGAGGTTGAACCACCCTTCCACCCACCTGGTGAGGACGGGGCCAGATTCTGCGGCCAGGTCATTTTCCTACTGTCTCTCCACACACAGAGTAAAAGAGTTGACAAATATCTGTTGTCAGTGAGTGAATGGGGGAAGGGAAGCAGAAACAAGACCACGGCCACACAGCAAGGATGGCGGGGAGTGGGGGGTGCGGGTGAGACCGCATCCTGGGAACTGTCTGGGCACCTCAGGGAGTTGAGGCAGGTAGGGGAGCCCGGGTCTGCTGGGCTCTGCAGCTGAGGGCCAGGATGTTGGTGGAGGGTGGCAGGGAGGGGCACAGTGCTGGACGACAACCAGGAACATCTCCAGAGCCCTTGGCAAACTTGTCTACTTCCCAAACATCTCTGCCACTGTGTTAAGTAAAAGGAAATAAACAAAGTATCATTTGCCCCTCTCCATCTCCAGAGGATTCATTAAAATGAGCCTGTGTATACACAGAATTGGAGCCACAGCCTCCCAGTCTAATTACCATTACCATTTTAAAGGGCATTAGGAAGGAATTTCCACCTGCTGCAATGAAAAAAAAAAAGCCAGAAAAGCGTGCAGTGGGGAGGACACTTGCTCCCCCCGGGGTTTTTCCCCCTTTCACCAAGCCATCAACAGCGTGCCTCTGGCTCTCAGTCTGGTGGGGTCTAAAACCATTTGCCCCTCTCCATCCAAGGCAGGCAGTGCCTGTCCAAGCCCCTGTGCTGACACCAGCTGCGGCCAGGCTCTGTGCGGGCCCGCAAATGCAAGGTTGCATCCAAGGAGTCCTGGCCTCAGCCACCCCCCGAGTCTTTCCAGGAGCCAGAGCTTACACGAGTTCCTGGAAAGGCAGGAGGCTAAATGAGCCCTGAAGACAATGTGCTAGGGTTAGGGGGGCATGGGGGACGGGGCATGCGGAGAGCCCAACGTGCAGAACAAATACGTGCTCTGAGCCTTGATGAGTCAGAATTTTTCACAGCAGGGAAGAGGAGAAGGAAGGGCACTGCAGAGGAGGTGACACTGTGAGCCAAGGGGGGGAAGTGTGACAGTGTCACTGTGAGTAGCAAGCAGGGAGGCCCACTGGACCACAGGATGCAGGACAAAGCAGTGAGCAATGGGAGCTGGCATTGGAGATGTAGGTGGGCTGAGACTTGGAGAGACTCAAATGACCTGGGGAGGAGTTGAGGCTTCAATCCACACCAGTGAGGACCAGTGCAAAGGCCCCGAGGCCACCTCTGCTGACAACCAGCCAAGAGTCTCCCTGGTTTTGATGGGGCACCAACAAGAGTCTCATAAAGAACTTAATAGTGTTTACAAATCAAACAATCAAAACATCTGTGAGATTATTCCATACACACACACACATACACACTCACAAATAAATGACTACCAGCTCAGATTTCAGAATGAAGTTCCTCAGAGCTTCAATCGTGAACACAGACTGACGTGGTAGAGACCCTGTTATCGGGAGGAGAGGCCTTGGCAAGCCTGCATGGACACAGCCCTGGCCTGGAGAGGAACCACGAAGACAAAGGGTGGGCAAGACACATGCCAAAGCCTGCACCCGGGGCCAAGCACAACACCAGGGGCCGCTCTTCCGGAGCCTCATGTCCTACACCTTCAGTCAGTTCTTACCAAGTCCACAGTTCTCTGGAATTTCAGGTGACAGCAGAGGAAAAGCAGGGAATTAGAGGGAGACAGGGTAAGGGGCTGCATTTGAGGCAAAGATGGTGATGGGGTCAGAGAGAAACCAGCAGACTAAAGAGCAGACAGAACTGTAATTGCAGGGAGCTGGGCTCCACATCCTCTGTAAGGCCCACAAGGTGGAGGGGAGGGGCCTCATAGCACAGCAGTCCCCAGTGCATTCTATAAATATTTGTCCTCTGAGGACTTGGTGACAAAAAGGATTCCATGATCAAATATACATGTGGGAGGTTCTGCACATTACATCCCTCTTTCAGTAAATCAAAACCATACACTGATATAGGAAAGGCCCTGAGAAGTCCTGCAGCAGAAAAGCCAACTTTACTTTGTTCACCAGTGTTCCTGAAATCTATACAAGCACTAAACCTTCCTACCTGCCTTTTTTTCCTCAAATAACACCTACTAACATCTCTTGGAACTATTATCTCACAGAACCCACTAGCTTAGAAAAATGCATCATTTATGTCTATCTTAAGGAAGGAAATAATCTTTTTTCTTAATGGTTGAAATGATTAAACTTGCTGCCTTTCACAAAAAGCTTTAGTTGCAGTGAAAATTCACTTAATTTGTAAAAAATCCCTCACTCACCAGTGATGCCAGGAAATGCAATATTATTGGCCCTCAAAAGCTCAGCCTTTAGGCCACCTAGAGCCACCTGTAGGCCACTGGTTGACCCGGACCACTCTTGAAAGCCAGAAGCCAGAGAGGTTACTCTGTCTAGTCTCCGGCTTTGTAGAGCAGCACCAGCCCATCACTCCAGTCTCTCCAGGGAAGGAAATGTCCCAGCAATTATGTGAGTGTGTGTGAGTGTATATGTGTGTGTGTGAGACAGAGCACGAGAGTGGGTCAAGTGTGTGAAGGTCCCACGTTCACGTGCCTGTGTGTGCGTGCATGCGTGGAAGGTCCGGAAAATGCAGCTGTGACTGAGGAGCAGGTTCTCCTACTCCTCTGACTTAAATCCTCCTCTTTTTGCATCTTGTCCATCCCCCTCCAGCATGATGACCCCCCATGTGACCAAACACTGTAATGGTTTAGATCTGCCACGGGGAGCAAGAGAACACAGACACTCTGTCTTTAGAATTCCCCTCTTGAAAATGTTTCCTTTACTGAAGTTTGGATTTTCAAAAGGGCTAGGGGTCTTTACTGGGCTGGGGCCCATGCACAGAAGGGAAGCTTCCTCACGGCAACACGGACGCCCTAGGAGCCAGGGCCATCCTGCTCTCCTCCGGCATCAGCAAGCCCAGGAGAGGACAATGTGGCCTCTAGGTGCCATCACAGCTGCAGACACAGTGTAGGGCGGAGGGCCCAGGACCTCACCTGGTATGTGTTGTCGAAGCTGTCGTACATGAACCGCGTGATCAGAGACGTCTTCCCGACTGCAAAAAAAGAAGAGAATGGTTCAGCCATGACATCTCAGCTAGACTCCTCTGCACACATTCCATGTGAATAAAACCAACAGAGAAACAAAAAGCCCAGAGGAAAGGAAGAACTGCAGGGACAGAAGTGGGAGGCAGACCCCCAAGAGGGACCCCAAGGCGAGGCAGCCATCTACATGGGGTGGGGTACAGGGGAGTTCCTGCCAGGCACCAAGGAGGAGGCCTTTCCTACCCCACAAGCTCTCACCACCCAAATCCAGATCTTCCTTGACCAACAAGAGCCCAACTGAAGCAAAAGCCTTATATTAAAATTCAGAACAAGTGGGTGCAGGACAAGATGCTCCTCTCCCACAGGCCTGTGTTCGCCTGGAAACACTGCCGTGCCTTTGGTTAAAGGCTGGGATGGGCATACTCTTGATTTCCCATTCATTCAGCCTGGGAGATGGTGACACAGGTGGCTTTCCATGGAGACAGGAGGCAGGTGAAGTAAACAGGTTCTTCCCCAGGGTCTCTCATGGGCAGGACTCTGTCATGTAGTGTATGCCTGACTGTCCAGCACCTCATAGGGCATTCAGCATCCCTGGACCTCCCAGGTAAATGCCAGCAGGATTCCCCAACCCTGGACTCTCTCTGCACATTTGCAAATGCCCTCTAAGGGGCAGTAAGACCCCAACTGAGAACCACTGGGGTAGCTAAGAGAAACCAGGAAGTCTCTTGGGAATCCCACAGATGCTGCTAATTTCCCAAACTGCAGGGTCCAGCTTCCTACCTAACTGTTCGAAGCAAATTTAGATGCCCCTTCTCTGACCACGAATTGGCTGGGCGGATTCAAATCCCAGCCTGGGACTGCTCAGCTGTATTATTTTAAGGTAGCCACCACCCCCTAGATGTCAGTTCCTCATTTTTAAGTGGGTATAATAACATCAAAGACTTCAAAGCACAGAAGAAAGAATTACATAAGGTAATAAAAGTGACTGGCACATAGGAAATGCTTAAAAGTAGAAGGCAAGTAACTGAGATAGCTAAGGCAGTTTCCAGAGCATCAGATTTTTGGAAATACCACCACCACTAGTTTATTTACTATGCCCGTCACGTCTCTCCATTTGGCTCTTCCTGATTTGCATCCTTTATAATAAAACTGTAACCATAAGTAGAGCGCTTTCCTGAGTTCTGAGAGTTGTTCAGGTGAATTACGTAAACTGAGGAGAGTTAAGAACCCCCCAGATTTGTAGCCAGTTGGTCAGAAATGTGGTGTGCTTGGGGACCCCACTTGTGGCTGCCAGCTGAAGTGGGGGGGCAGGCTTGTTGGGGATTGTGCCCTGAAACCTGGGGAATCTGATGCAGCTCTGGGTGGCAGTGCAGCGGCTGCTGTCAGAATAGCCACATTTCTATTCTGAACACCTCCAGGGGGAGCAGTAGTGCACCCAACCTCTCTTCTAGTTTTACCTGGACACTGCCCTTTTAGCTCCTAATAGGCATGTGCCTCCCAATTGCTTTAAATCTCCCCCTTGGACTTCACATGAAGGTGAGAAATGGGGTCTTCCCACGTACAAGGGCCTGGAAACGCTAAGGGGACCACAGAGTGGGACGGCCTGAGTCAGCGAGAGGCATATGAAATCGAAGAGAACACAGCATCCTCCTTTCCAAAAGACAATGGAAAGTTACCACCTCCTCGGGAAGAGAGGGATGGCAGGGGCCCTGGGGAACTTCTCGGGGTAGTGACACACCAAAACCCACATCTCACACCTTGGGGAAAGGGTGAGCATCAGGGAGCCGAGTGGAGAAAAGGCAGGAAGACACTGTTCTCCTTCCCCAGCTGGTTCTTCCCTGGGGCAGCTGAGCAGGCACAGAGGCAGGCCAAACTGCAAAAAGCTACTGATGGAACAGAAGGTTCATGGAGTATCTGAGAACTCAGAAATCCCTGCAAAGGCCTCTAATGCCAAGTAGCTCCTCCAGGCACTGGTGGTGTGTTAGTACTGGGGCAGGGTGGCTGCTAGTTGGAAGGAGAAAATCCCAAGGAAACGAGTTGTTTTGTTGGGACTGCGCAGGAGGAACGTTTAGGTATGGGGCCCTGGCCAAAACCGGTACTTTCTGAGCATTCCCAGCATGACCACAATAGGCAGCACATGAGCCCTGTGTTTACAGAGCATGTCCCAAGCACGGGCCAGGGGCTGTACAAGGCACATGTTTCCATGACAACAGTCAACAGAAAGGATGGGACAGCCACCTCAGAATTCTGTGCTTGCAGCAACGCTGTCCTGAGCCCTTGGCACCTCCCGGTAGTCCTCAGTGCTGAAGGGGGATCATGTCATCCCCATCTTATACAAGGGAAGATGAGCTGACAGCTGCTTGCCCAGGGCCAGCGCTGAGTGGCACCAGGATGAGGCGGCCTGACCAAGAACCGAGCTCCTATCCCTGACCTACCTCAGCAGCGCGGGTCATGCTGGGTTTCAGGCTTCTGCCAGGTCATTACTGCCACCACTGTGGGTGCCTGGGAGCTCCAGAATAGCACTGCTAAGCCAAGGCACCTTCTCCTTGACAATGGTTGGAGGGGGAGGCTTCTCTGGAAGGTTGCAACCTGGGAACTGAGGTGCCCTGTGGGGCACAAGGAGTGCTCAGAAAAGTGAGGGTGGGAGAGCCTGCCTGGGGTCCAACACACCAATTGAGGCCTGGACTGGGTGGTAGGCTCTGCTGCAAAAGGGAACACTTCCCTACTGCTCTTCTATGTTCATTTTTGTCATTTCTCAGAGTAGAAGCCTCCTCTTTCCCTGCCTCGGAGCTTCCCCAGGACCACCCATACTGTCTCCATGGCTGCCAGGATAATGTGGTTCCGACCCTGTCTGAGCTTGTGAGCTTGGCCTCCCCGCTTAGAAGCCTGCAACCACCCGTGGGTCTTGTGTTGATGAGACTGTGGCCCATTCATCCACGCTCTTCACAGAGGCCAGGGCTGGGGCGTCCTGTCCCAGCCACCAGCTCTGGCCAGCTCTCCGAGGAAGGCTAGGCAGCAATACCCCACATGAACATCAGCCAGGGTGTCCTCCACACCCTGCCTTCAGGAGGCTTCTGAGGTGAGCTTATTACAAGGAGCCCTCACCCACCACTGCCCAGGCTCTGCCCTGGCACCACATAAAGGACTGAAACAGGTACAGCGCAGCCCTGTGCCAAGCTCCTCTCTGCTCCAACAGGCAGCACGCCCTCCCTCACCCCATGCCCCTCCCTCAGCAGCTGCCCTGTGTGGCAGGTGCTGGAAGCTGGGAAAGGAGAGCTTGACCCCCTCCAGCTCCTTGGCGGCTGTCTCAGCCTCACCAGCGCCCGGGGCTGTAGCCCAGGGGAAGCCGGCAGGGCAGCGGCTCTCCGCACTCAGGCAGCGCAGACAGGGGCAGGAGGCCCTCCCCTTGAGGCCCTTCCTGCCCTCCACTGGCCCCTGCAGCCGCGTGCAGAGAGCCGTCCTCCCCACCCAGTCCTGTTCTCAAGGTCACACTGTCCCACATCCCCTTTCACAGCAGCTCTTGCACACCGCTGCAGCAAAGTGAGCTTTTCCTGAGGACAAAGATTCAGCTCCACAGGCATGATTTTATTAGAAATAAGCAGGCAAATCATTACTGAGCTTTTCTTTCCTCTCTGCTCGTGGCTCAGCAATATTCCTGTAATCTCCTGGTAGCTTAGTCCCACATGGTTAAATGGGGAGATGCATTTTTTCTCTTTGAACCAAATGATGTGAGAACATTCATTACCGAGCACTTACCAGGAGCCTCTAGAAAGAAGGAAAGGCAACTCTAGCTCTTACCGGGCTTCTACGCAGTGCCAGACAAGAACTTTGGTGCTTACGTTAGGTGCCCTCCTTCAGTCCTCACCCCAGCCCGGTGAGTGAGCTAACCCCCAGGGTCCCAAAGCCGGGGAGCGGGCACACAGCTCCTCATCCGGAGCCCAAGCCCGCGTGTCGGGGCCGTGCTGTGTGGGCTCCGGGGAAGGTGTGGCCAGCACAAAGCAGGAGAGCAGAAGGGACAGGGCCTGGGGTAGGCAGTCCCGGGGAAGGCGGGGCATCTGGGGGCTGTGGGAGGGCGGGGGAGGCGTCTTCCAGGCAGAGAGACCCCAGTGAGCAAATGCACGGGGCAAACATGAAGAGCTTGTGAGAAGGGAGAGAAGGCAGAGGGCCAGGCTGCGGTGTGTGTGTTGGGGGGTGGGGGGGCGGGGCTAGGAGCATGCCCAGGAGCCTTCGGGGCCACCTCTGGAGGCCCCTGCATCCGAGCTTTGTCTCTGGGAAAACGGAGTCGCACTAAGTATGTGAGGAGAGGGCAGTGACAAACACTGGTTGAGGAAGCTCCATGTGGCCAGTGGGTTGATGTAAATCACAGTCCATCTCTGGGGTCTGCCGTGGAGGAAGGGAGGGGGGCAGGCAGAGAGGCGAGGCCAGGGGAGTGCGGGCCAAACCTAAGAGCCAGTATTCTCTCCCAAGGGTGGAGGGAGCTTCGGAAGGGTCTGAAGTAGACAAGCAATTAAAAGAGCTGCCGCAGTTCATGACTTCCATGATGGCTCACAAAATTCCCCATCGCACACGCTCTTTTTACACCAGACCACTGATGCTCTAGCTAGGTGTGAATGTGCCTGTGGCAGACATGGCCCTGTGGCCCCCGAGGCTGGGCAAGGAAAGGCAGCTCAGCCCCCGTCTGGAGCGTTCTCACTCCTGTGAACTCTGGGAGCTGCCCTCCAACCCAGCCACCATACTGGGAAGAAGCCTGAGACACCCTATGTGAGGGAAGACCCCAAGGAGACACCCAGATGGCAAGAAATGGAGGACCCCAGCCAGCAGCCAGCAGCAGACCTGTGTGTGAACAACCCTCCAGCCTGAGAGCCCTTAGCTGACACCAAGTGGAACAGAGAAATGCTTTTCCTGCCAGGACCTGCCCAAACTAAAGCTTCCTGAGCAAACTAAATATTCTCATTTCAAGCCACAAGGTTTTGGGGTGGTTTGTTACACAGCACTAGGTAATCAGAGCAAC